ATGAATTGTAAGGTAATACTATCTACTATCCTATCTGGATGAATTGTAAGGTAATACAAGCTATTATCACAGCTTAATGAATTGTAATGTAACACTAGCTACTATTCAAGCTGAATGAATTGTAAGGTAATACTAGCTACTATCCTATCTGGATGAATTGTAAGGTAATACAAGCTATTATCACAGTTGAATGAATTGTAAAGTAATACTAGCTACTATTCAAGCTGAATGAATTGTAAGGTAATACTAGCTACTATCCCATTTGGATGAATTGTAAGGTAATACTAACTACTATCCCATCTGGATGAATTGTAAGGTAATACAAGCGACTATCCCATCTGGATGTATTGTAATACCGCATTTTCATTTCTGAAATAGAAAACTTAAGACCATTGTTTCATACCATGTCGAATACTCTCATCGTCATAGGGATTCGTTCCATGTTTGGACCGGGGAGAATCAGGTGTCAAATACCCTTTCTTTATGGTGGTACAAAATTTGAAGACATGTATGTGTTGATGAATGTGAAACAAATAAAACAAGATTTCTTACATATAAAATGCAATAAACAACCTATTTTAATATCCATAAAGCATGAAATATCGGTAACCTGTTTTTCATTTTCGGAGAGAATTACGTACAAAATCCGAATTAAGTTTGAAGTAACGTACATAATATTAGTGTATGGATGACCATTGTGTATAATGGTCACACAACGATTTATAAATATAATGAAGTGGTATATTTCAACAGAATAAGAAGAAGACAGACCTATGTTCTGTCGAAACAAACAGTATGTTCAATATGAAATTCTCAAACATCTTTTTATGGGATAATATATTTATTTCTGTAGAACGTTTCGTCTCTAACAGTGAGACATCATCACGTACATTAATTAAGGATCTGTACCTTTAATGTTGTACATGATGATGTCTAATTGTTAGATACGAAACTTTCTATAGAAATAAATATATTATCCCATAAAGTTAAGTGGGTACCCCTTAAAAAGCAATCAGTGCAGTATGTCCCCCCTAAATAAAATAAAATAAACTTCTTCATTATGCATATAAATCGTTGTTTGCCAATTAACATACATAATAAAACTCAGTTGAGATGTGCCTTTTACGTGAGGAAGGACCTGTACCGGTGAGAATGATAAACTCACAATCTTAGTTAGAGAAAATAAAAAAGAATACGGCAATGCGTTAACTAATGGGCGCGATCTTGTTCGGTTCCCGTCCTCTACTGCTGACGCAACTGGTCCGCGAGAGCTAGACGTATTTGATTCCTACTAGTATCGGCTAAGAGTTGCCTGAAGAAATTTCTGAATAATCTTAGATTATTTAAAACGAACGATAGACGAGTTTGACGAAACACGTTAATATTAACATTCCCTACGCTATCCAGGTTGAATAGCTGTAAAACTGAGGTCACGTTGCCCTTACCCACAGCTATTTGAACTCTAACGGTCAAGCTGGACAAAGTTGCCGTCATCCGCAAAAGATAAATAAAGCGGTAAGAACGAAATATAAAATTCTGTTGAAGTCGAACGCTCGAAACCATAAGATTGAAGCCCAAAATATCTCGTCCATTTGTTGTATTACACGAAAGCTGGATGTCACCAACCCTCTTGATGTTAGAAAAACCGTTAAGTTGGCCATTATTCATAAATATAAACACAAACTGAAACGAACGAAGAGAAACCGGTTCCACAGCACTAAGACGGGCCTTGAGGTCTGCCATCAGACTGTCCAGGTATTCACTGCCATTGTTACAAAGACCCGAATTATCTGCTCCACCTCCGGAAAGGTTGCCTATAGCTGAACCTAGGAATATTATCGTAGAATTTTCTATCATTAACTCCAGATCAGGTGACAGAACACTAAACAGGGATTGTGCAATCTGTGATTCAATTGATGGCTTGAAAGCCAGAACAATACCTTGAATCAGAGCGTCATTAAGAGGTGAGGTGATTATTGGAATGTCCAAAGACGAAATGTTGCTCCCAACCAAGAACTGAGAGGATACATTACGAAGAGTGAACGTGTTGTTTCCATCGTAAGAAAGTGAGAAATCCAACAAAACAGAGGTGTCGTTTGACAGTACTGCCACCTCGCCGGAATAATCAAAGGGAACAGTGGAAGCAATATTACCACTTATCTGTCCTATTCCAGTAATAAAAATATCTGAAGCAGATAAAATAGCTCTTCCTTCTATTGTGGATGCATTTATAAGTTGGACTTCTTGTATTTGTATGGCTTGTAATCCTGTCAAGCTTAAACCAGATAACGTGGTGTTAATTGGTCCAAACACAACGTCAACGGAAAAATTCATATCTGCGAGAGGCAGAGGTTGAGGAAGGTTAGCTATAGCTTTTTGTAGAGCATCCCTTATTACGTCATCCAACTGGTCAACAGAAACTTGTGTACAGGTACCTTTATACAAAGAAATAATTTGTAAGTAAAAACAAACCATCTGCTCTAAATTAACTAACATTATCACTCAACTTATGTGTACAAAGATTATCTTTGACATATAAATTGGAAAGTAAAATAAATCGTACTGAATTATTAGACACAAACAGTTATCTGTGACGTTGTACAAACTTTATGTCAGTAAATCATGTAACATTTAATTGAAAATAAATTATACAGAAGTATGAAACAAAAACAGTTATCTGTGACATTGTACGAACTTGCTGTCAGTAAATAACATAAAATGTTTTAATATGCTATTGCAAGTTTTTATTATAAATTTACTTATAATTCGTGTGATTTTTATTTGTAACATAAATTTGGCAATTTATTATTTTGTCATTAAAGACAAAGAGTCTTAGATCATAAATTTCTAGTAATATAGCAAATATTTGAAGCTTCTGTTAAAAGTATAATACAAAGAAATTTATCTCATTGTTGTTAAGCTACAAGTAAAACTGTGGGACGAGCTTACCTTCCGGACAACAGGCAAGAATAAAGATAAACATCCATATGAAAAAATACTTGGTTTTCCTTCCTGCTTTTGGTACCATTCTTTATAACACGAAGAAATCCTAAAATTGAAGAAAATACGTTTTAAAATGTTCGAAGACGTTATATATTGGGTAAGTAGTCAAATTCATCTCTACTACAGAGTATACCCCAGAAAAAGATTTTTTTATACTCTCGTGAATACAGAGTTCCACAAAGAAACAGGTTTCATTTTTAACCTCTTGTAACTATAGGGTACTGTTACGACAGCGGAAGTCACGTGACGCTGGTAACACGTGATGAGTTTCTAGAAGGATCAGGGAACATCACGAATAATCCAGTATTTGCTAGACGCTCTCTATTCCTGTATATAAGCGCGCCAGATAAAGCGAGACAATTAATCGGAATTGGAATAGCAGACAGAGAGATTGAAGATATAGACAGATAATCGAGACAAACCGTAAGTAAAGCGCGTGAATCGTTGTGAATTATAGCGTGTGTTTAAGTGAGAGCGACTGTGGAAATTAAGTGTATTGCAAAGTTGTATTGAGAAAGAATAAACTAGTTTTATTTGAGAAAGAACTTGTATCGCTGAAGTTCTTCGGAAAGAATTTTTATGGATAATTAACAAACGACCAGAGACTTAACAAATTAGTGTCAGAGAGTGGGACGAAAAAAAAAAGAAAAAAAGAAGAAGATGGAAACGAGAGGTGGCAAATCAAACTACAGCTCAGCAGAACTGATGGCAGCAATACAAGAACAGCGAAAGAAACAAGAAGAACGAGAAAATAAACAAGAAGAGAGATTACAGCAGTTGTTGGAGGAAAAAGAAAATAAACAAGAAGAACGAGAAAATAAACAAGAAGAGAGACTACAACAGTGGTTGGAGGAGAAAGAAAATAAACAAGAAGAACGAGAAAATAAACAAGAAGAGAGACTACAACAGTGGTTGGAGGAGAAAGA